GTTTCATCACATTGTATATAATTTTATCTACTAATTGCCGTTATTTGAGGAACATAAATGTGGTTCGTCCTGTTTCAGTTAGAGAGAAAGATAGGTGGTTTCTGCTGTCATATGTGGGTGCTGAGTCAGGGCTGCTTCTTTCTCTTCTCTAGGTGACTCTGTGATTATATCAGGCAAACGTGTCAGTACAACAAACACAATGTATTTTAATATGGGATGCACAGGAAGTTTGAAGAATCGTTATGCGATAGTTATAATACACTGCGACACTCAAGGCTGCTTTTTTCCCTTTTTGTTGAGTCCAGGATGAATCCACTTCTTTCATAGTTTGTATAAGGGAGACCAAGTTCTCTCTCCAGCACTGTTTGGTACCTCTTCTTGCTGCTCACTTTTACAGCATGTGGTCTTTGAAGTTTGAATTCCAACCTCTTTCTAGACGAGCACTAAGTAAAAAGGCAGCCTTTAGGGTTAGGCAGCGCAAGGTAAATTTTCGGCCCCATGAGCAGGAACTCAGTTACATGACTTGCATTACCATTAATGGGGGTCATGCTGGTAAATTCCTGTACACCACATTGCACATTTACTCATGAGTGCAGCATTGGCACAGCTAATGAAACTGGCCCTTCGGTGTTTCAGGAGATGAATCTGACAGGCAGAAAAGACTGCTAAGTATCCAGATGAAAGTCTGGCTTTTAACTCCTTGAACATATTTCCAGAAAATAATAGTGTGGATTAATGTTGGTTAGTGTTGGCTGTTCCTACTGTTAGGGATCAGTCTTGCTCCAGTAGGATTCCATCGAGGCAGACATCATGCCTGAAACGTAAATGTGTGTGCTGTCATTTAGTGCTGGCGATTCGCTTTCTTCTGTGTTTTCCAAGTACTACTTACTCTTATTTGTTTTCTTTCAAACGTAGCCCAGTCCTCTGCTAACACCAGCTTCTATAATCACAAACAAAGTAAATTCTTATAATTTTCTCCCCTGCCACTTTCTCAAGGATGACCCCTCCTATGGCTGAGCATCACCTGGTGATTTCCAGCCTTCATTACTCATGGACATCTTATACCCATTTGTTCTTGTACCGTGTCCATTGCAGTGACAGTGTGGTCTCATTTCCAAAACCCTTCCCCAGCCTTTTCTTTGCTAGGCTAAACATGCTAAGTCCGTTTTTTCTATTTGGTAAGGTAAGCTTTCCATTGCCCTGGCTGCGGTTCTGTGCATATGCTCCAGTTGTTTTTAATAAATTAAAATAAGTTATTTTTAATAAATTAAATCAAAATTGCCCACAATATTCTATCTGGTTCAGTGACATAAGATATCCTTCATACCCATCTTCACAACAACCCATTGTTGTTTTGCCTTTTTTACCTTTTAATCACACCATGGTTCATAATTGTTTTGTAGTCAATTGGTAGGGTTTTTTTCTTATTTTTCATCATTTATAGTGGTCTCTGAGCTTGCAATAGGAATTCTTGTCATTAGGTCCCAAGTTCCATGTTGTGTGATTAATTCTCTTTCTAGCACTGAACTGTTCAAAGTGATTCTTTTTTTAATGCGTGATGCTCTGAATATCCTTTGCATCAGCAGCAAACTATATTCAGTATTAATCAAAATATTAAAAGAGTAAAATCAGTTTCATGATTAAGTTCTGAAGGAACTTCTAACCCAAGGAGGTTGTGGAGTCTTCTTCTCTGGAGATATTCAAGACCCGCCTGGACAAGGTCCTGTGCAGCCTGCTGTAGGTGACCCTGCTTCGGCAGAGGGGTTGGACTAGATGGCCCACAGAGGTCCCTTCCAACCCCGAACATTCTGTGATTCTGTGATTATACTCCATCTGTTCCAGTCTTTATTTATTTCACATTATTTCAGTTATAAAGTATTCCCTACGCTAGGTGCTGAGAAGATGAATGGTATAGTACTTGCCACATATCACAGAATCACAGAATCACAGAATAGTAGGGGTTGGAAGGGACCTCTGTGGGTCATCTAGTCCAACCCTCCTGCCGACGCAGGGTCCCCTACAGTAGGCTGCACAGGATCTTGTCCAGGCGGGTCTTGAATATCTCCAGAGAAGGAGACTCCACAACCTCCCCGGGCAGCCTGTTCCAGTGCTCCGTCACCCTCAGAGGGAAGAAGTTCTTCCTCATGTTCAGACGGAACTTCCTGTGCCTCAGTTTGTGCCCATTGCCCCTTGTCCTGTCACTGGGCACCACTGAAAAGAGCTTGGCCCCATCCTCCTGACACCCACCCTTCAGATATTTATAAGCATTTATAAGGTCCCCTCGCAGCCTTCTCTTCTTCAGGCTGAACAAGCCCAGTTCCCTCAACCTCTCCTCATAGTGGAGATGCTCCAGTCCCCTCACCATCCTTGTAGCCCTCCGCTGGACTCTAGAGAAAAAAGAGTCTGTGTCACAGTAAATCACTCAGAAAATCTCTTTCCTTTCCCAGCAACACAGTTTTCCATTTTAGGAAAAGCCTGTTCTGTCATATGAGCCTTTTAACATGGTCAGAAAATCACTACATGTTGGAACTAAGTATGGTTTGAACTGCCAATAGGTCTCTTTCTATTCACTGGAATATTCCTTTTCTTCATCAGCTTATGGTTCTGTGTGGTCATAAGAGCTGAAGAGATGCCAGAGATCTGCACTGCACTGAAGTGTCAACATCTAGAGAAACACTTTGCAGTTTCTGTGTTAAATAAAAGTAGGAAAAAAAATCAATTTGCCACTGCAACTAGTTGACTGTGAAGGAGCAGCTGCAGACTGCTGAGTCTCATCAGGTTGCAGTCTTGATTAACATTGGGCAGATCCCCCCTGCTGCGAGAATAAATACCCTGCCTTTGTCAAGGCTCCCATGGAAGAAACAATAGGTTATTTCAGTGAAGCACGAGAACATAAATGTTAATCGAATCATTCCTCCAAATGAATAGAAGTAGCACCCAGAATGTAAACATTTCAATTTTGGGAGGGAAGATCTGCCTGTCGGTTGGTTAATTTTCTATGTATTTTTTCATTTGCTTTGAAAAGCTGCTCACTAACATTGCCATCATTGCATACAATAACATTTTCAGCACTGCAAATCTGTATGCTTCCTGTCTTTCCAAGCTAGGCAGTGGCAAAGTCCAGGGAGTATCGGAAAAAATAAAGCCTGCCTTAATATCACTCAAGAGAGGTCAAAACCTTATGCTGTATAACTGCCAAACTATGTGATCACGTTACTTCTTGGTAGAGGAACTGGAAAATACTTTCCAACTGGAACGGACACCAGGAAACATCTTTTAAAATTGTTTTTTATACATTGGGATAATTACCCATAGAAATAAATCTGTGTCTCTTTACAGATGATGAAAGTGGCTTTAGGTATTTTCACAAATTTATGTGAGTACAAGCAAAAGAGCAAGAATAAGCATTTATCCCCTTACTACTTCCATGTTTGCTGTACAAATAAGGGATTTCAGTACTCAATTGGGCATATATGTTTTAAAGCAAACTACAGCGTGATGCCCGTCTATCTCCTGTTTTCATGTTTACAACTATTGTTCGTCAACACATGATAAAAATATCTCTTGGCTTTCAGTTGTGCCATGTGCCTGGTCAGATCCTGGTGATTTCACTCCTGTGGGGTGTCCCTTTGCGTAAAGGAATGGCACAAAGCCAGGGCAGTTCAGCTCATTGCTTCTCTTCTGCTCATAAAGTCCTCAGAGATCCTGCACCAGTGGTAGATTAGGACTCTGTAGCTCTCTATGGATGCTAAACATGGAAAATGGTTTTCTTACAGAATTTGCTAGTTCTTCACTGAGGCTGCTGTGCTGCTGTTTATACGTGCACCCTTTTTTAACAGCCATGATGCACTTCTCCACTGGAGGAATCTGTCTCTTGAGTTTCTGCATAGCAGATACTATCTCCTGTCAGTCGCTCTGGGGTGCATGTCATCAGTTATGAAACTTAGTGGAGATGGAGGATTTGTTTGTGGTGGAGGCACAGAGGTTTAGGGGTTGGAGTTGGATGTCTGGTGGTCCCATAGGCTTTCCTGTCTGTCAGGATCACTGGATTTCCCCAGTTGTTGATTGGTGCTGAAGTGGGGAGAATGACAACTGCCAGCATGGTGATTAGCAGAGCAAGCCAGTAACAGAGGAGGCGTGAAGCTGAATGTGATAATTGTAGTTTTGTGGCCCATGTTCACCAGGGCATGTTGTGACTGCATGGGCAGAAGTTTCCTACCGCCTGGGTGAAGCCAGAGATGGGAGAAAGCTGGAGCGTTTGTTGCCACTCTAAAACACACTTTCTTCCCATCTGCCCTCCACCACCCGTGGTGTCAGTCTGCAGGCATGGACCAAAGGGGCTGCGTGAGCAAGCTCAGATCCATCCATTATTTTTGATTGTCCAACTCCACGGGTCATTGATGTCTGTTCTCCCATGACTGAAACTGGGGGCTTCTCAGGCGGCTCAGCAATGGGCAGTGGTTTTCCATGCCCTCCATCCTGTAGCTGGAACAAGCAGTCTTCTTCTAAGCTCCCTTCCAGTCGTTAGACAACCTTTCAGTACAACCTTTATAGGAACCTGCAATCAGCTTCTGGAGGCCCTGACAGAGCACCCCCATCAGAGAAAACCTGATTTAAGCCTTCAGCCTCACCTGTGATATTACATCATTTTATGGTTTTCTCTCTTTGGGCAGAAACAGTGTTAAAATTCAAGTTACTTCATTCACTTGAGGTGAAGAGTTGCAAAATGAGCAGAATTTATTAGTTTGCTGTGCAGAAGTATTCTGACTCTGCTGTCTGTCACACTGGGCGTGTGTGGACTCAATTTGAAGTCATACATTAGGGATTTTTTTCTTGCCTAGATGTCAGAGGTCAACGTAACTTCTGCTATTTTGTTTTCATATCCTATTTTAGTCCCCTTTGGGGGGGTAGGAAGAAGTATGTTGTTGAGCTGGCTGAACCAGCGCTTAAACCCTGTGTGTATGTAGCGTTGTATGACGTGTGCCATGTATTTCTTGAAGCCCAACATTGGGCGATTAGGAATTCCTCATGGGCCTTCAGGAGAGAAGGTGGCCGTGGTGACTGTGGACGACTGTGACACAGCAGTGGCTGTGCGCTTCGGGAGCCTCATTGGAAACTACACCTGTGCTGCCCAGGGGACTCAGACCGGCTCGAAGAAGTAAGGATTCCATGTATCTGCGGTTTTCCCCTCATTCTCTTCTTCCAGGGGAGAGTCAACAGTATGTGATGAACCACTGAGCAGATGAAGTTGGAAAAGCAGATATGATTTAACAATAAGAAAGTTTAGCTTGGTAGATGGAATTTGTTGGAGGCTACTGCGAGTGGCAGTACACTGGGTGGAATGCACAGAGGTTTGTGTGGATGCAGACGTGCCCAAATTTACTTGTAAAATGCAAAAATTGGAAGTCAGTGTGGGTGGCCCCCAAAAAGCATCTACTCAGTGTGAAAGTGTAGAGAGAAGGGAAGGTAAAATATTACACTTTATTGATGAAGGGGGTGGCTGAAGAACTTGTTACTTCCATCATTTAAGTTAAAAGTCCTGTTTTGAAAGGAGATAGAAATAAAGGAGATAGATACAGAAAAGGCCATTGAAAATTGTTAGGTATGAAAAAATGTTTCCTGTGAGGAAGGACCAAAAAACACTAATACTTTTGAGTTTAAAGAGGAGATTTACAGCAAGCAACATAGCAGGGATATGAAGTATTGAGTGACAGCAGAAAGACCATTGAGGGAAGGGGGCACCATAAAAATTAGGGCTAACTCAAACTGACCAGATGACATACTTTTCACACAGTGTGGAGACATTCAGTAGAACCTGCATCCACTAAATGGTATTAAGACTAAAATCTTCAGAGGATTTAAAAAGGGTTGGCACTGTGTAATAATGAAGCCATTAGATCAAAATCTGCAGCGTCTCAGCCCTTGTGCTGAGGAGCATAAGCCAGCCCCTGGGTGACTGGAATCGGAAAGAAGTGTCCTGCGGCTGCAAGTTTTCCATAATTTCAATTTTCTTCTTCATATGGGCCACTGTTAGGGACAGGTCATTGGACTTTGTATGCATATGACGGCTCCTGAGTTAAAGGTTATGGTGTTTCTGGGAGATCCTTTGATTACAAACTCTGGAAGTGCTGATGTAGCAGAGGGAAGTGCATGGCAGCATGGGTAAACTAAACAGCTCAAATGTGCTTATGGAAGCAGTAAGATAAAGAACAAAATAAAACAAAGCTTATGCAAGAAATGGTGAGCATTTCTTTGTTTTTTTCAGATCTTTGGACCTAACTGGCCCTCTCCTCCTTGGCGGTGTCCCAAACTTGCCTGAAGATTTCCCGGTGCACAACAGACAGTTCATCGGCCGAGGGGACCCTCTTAACGGAAGGCAAGCCGATCGACATGGCTAGTTTCATCGCCAATAACGGCACTCTGCCAGGTATGAGTGACTACCGCCTCGAAAGTCAACACCAGAAAGCCCTCTGCTGTAGCAGTATGTGTAACAGGGCTTAGGATGTCAGGGGGCTGGCGCTCGGAGGAACCCCGGGAAGGGGCAGGGGACAGAGGGGGCTGAAACGGCCCCCGTCCCTCTGCTAGCACCGCTGAGTGCAGAGCGTTTGCCCCAGGCTGGGTGGCAGGTGCTCGAGGTGCTGCTGGGCATCGCGCTTCCACCGCGTCACCAGCACGGCTGCAGCCAGAGGTGCTCAGCGCACCTCGCTGGTTTGAGTGAGGAGCAGTCCGCCGTGCCGGGGATGCACACGAACAACAGCACAGCGCACACCGACAGGATTAAGCAGCATGCAGAAAGTGGCCGGGCTTGTTTAGACCTTCTGCATTGCTAGGAGTTTCACCCAGGAATGTACTCCTAAATGAACTTTTCCTCTTTTTTTTTTAATTACCTTTTAAATGTCACTTTGCTGTGAAAGCCATTGGGATTAATTAATGAAAAAGACAACATTTTTAATGACTTTTTCATAAATTATGTTTGTTCTTTAAATCAAATTCTGCAGTCCTCCAAATCTGAAACCTGCTTCATGAAGCAGCCTGTAGGCATTTCTGGTTTGGTTTCCAGTCCCTGGATCCCTGATCGGAATTAGTTCTGGTGTACAAAATGCTCTCATCATCATAAAACTGGCTCTTACATGCATGAGTGTCAGGTCCCTTCCTTCCACCCTGCTGAAGGTCTGTGTAAGTGCTAAATTGCAGGTCTTAGATGTGTTGCATTGCTCATGGGTTAAGAAGGGAGTTGTAGCATAAGCTTCAAATTGCTATATTGTCTTGGAGCCCTGTTTTAGAAGTTATGTCTCTATTATTAGTTAAACACAAGTTTTTAGCTTGTGGACATGCACATGAGGAGGGGCATGAAGTGTTTTCTTTAGCATGAATTTTTTTTCCACGTTTGGAAACAAGTTTCCGTATGGTTTAAAACAATGATGTATAGTAGTGTTACTCCACAGTGTAACACTGCACTTTGGCCTTCCCTGGTTAGTGTGTCAGTTAGATGACGGTGAGCTGCGAACAGTGGTGCTGAGTCACAGCACCAGTCGGTCGGTCTGTTTCCAGCAGTGGATGCCGGGGAAGAGTGCAGAAGCAGGACAAGCGTGCAGTGATATTTCCCCAAAAATTTCTCTTAGTCCTCAGAGATTTACAGCTCAGTGACTGTATTTAATAGCCTTTGATAGATTTGTCTTTATGAATTTGACACTTGCTCAGCTCACGTAAACTTTTTCCATCACATTTTGCTTCACTGACTTCAAGGGTAATTAAGAAAACCCCAAACCTGTAATGGTTATGTCTTCTTTTTACGTAAAAACTCGGATACAATCATTCAGAGCCTTTTTCTTGTTAAAACCATGCAGAGTAACTGTTTTCCTGAATTTCAGGCTGTGCAGCGCAGAGGAACTATTGCGAAACCAGCTGGTGCCAGAACGGAGGCACATGCGTCAACAAGTGGAACACGTACATTTGCGAGTGCCCCGTGCGCTACGGAGGGAAAAACTGCGAGCAAGGTAGGGTGCAAAGACCTCATCATGCATAGCCACGTGTGCAGGTTTCATTACCCATCGTTAACATCTCATCGTATGTACGTCAGACTGTGGTGCTTAAAGGACAGGTAACAGAATATTGCAATTAGGACTAAAAATAACCCATTATCTGTTTGAAATAATTTTAGAGATCGCCCATACAGTAAATACGATAGCTGACATACTGTCATGAATAACAGCAGCTTTCATTGATTTACTTACGTAAGCAAAGTAGTTCCACAGAACTTGGCAGTATTTAGTAATTTGTTTATAGTGAAAATGCCTGATCCTAAGCCCCTTTAAATCAGTAGAAAGAATCCCACTGACTTTATTGGGCTTTGGCTCAAACCAGGGATGAATGTGCGGTTTTAATCACCACTTTGTTGGCAAGGAGGCAGTCTCTGCTGAGTATGAGCACTTTCAGTTTTACTGGGTTTTTCTTTGATTGAACACAATAGGCGTGTATGTGCAAAACCGTATTAATAAAGGATGAGGAAGGAGCAGCAGGTGTGTTTTATAGGGTGTGAAGAATTTGCAGTTAGTTTCTTCCCGAGGAAGCGAGGAGTCATCTGCATGAGGGGTCCCGTGAGGCCAGTGCAGCAGCGGGACACCTGCTGTAAGGTGACACCTCCACGTCTAGTGGAGGGTTGCTGGGTTGGAGTCTTCCTGGAGGCTTCCAGGAAGGAAAACCTGCTTAAACTAGGCATGGCTTTACTAGAAGCCAAATTCTGGCCTCTGATGCAGATGTGGTAGGTCTTCGTTTCCGTGATCCCCCTGTGACACTTAGCCCAGAATAGTTTGCAGTGTGATCAAGGATTATGTCCTGTTGATGTATCTACCGCAGATCAAATGTTCTTGATTAGTCTCAACAGGACATGAACCATGGAATAGCAGGTCTCCAAGTGGAGATGCACACACCACAGTGATTTGCAAACCACTTTAGCACAGTATGCCTCAGCCTGGGCCAGATCTAGGTGGTGACAACTGTTCTCCCCTTGCTTCAGAAGCAGCAACTTAGGAGGAGAGGACACATAGTTAAATTTCTGGCTTTGAAATAAGGTTCTGCAGGGTTAGGTATGAGGGAGAGGAATGATGGAGGCCTCTTCCTATGTTCCACTTCATGCAGAGCCCAGAGCTGCTATTACTACCGCTAGTGAGGTACCTGCTTTCTGTGGCAGCTCCTCAAATATTCTGAGCTCGCCACGTTTGAAGGTATGAAGATCGAATTTTTCCATGTGTCTCATGCCAAGTATCTTTGGTGTTTTCTTCATGATGGGCTGGTCTCTGTGGTACAAACCCATGCTGATGTCTCCTGAGAGAGTGCCAGGGCCCCACTCTGGTGTGACCTATACTGGAGTGAATGGGGAGTAGTGCTATCACATGCAGAGACTATCCTTCCCTCTGTCTCTGTCTTAGTTCTGAAATGGAATTTCAAAATTCAGTCAAATGTTTGTTTTATTCATCATTTTCTTATCTCAAGCTCAAGATGGAAACATGAATTTTGGGATTTAGAAAATCACCTCAAAACTGCCCCGTAGCCATCGTTGGAAACTCATTTTAAGTTGAAGTAATACAGATGATGTATCACAGTGTCACTGTCCCCCACCCCACCCAATGGTCTCCTCTGTCTCCAGTGCTGCATGTCCCCTTTGTCCTTGTTTGGGGTTTTTAGAGTTTGAGGGTAGCAGGCTGCTTGCTCCTTTGATGATACTTGTGGGGCAAAGTGTCCCTAGGGAAAAGCTGCAAGCCAAGAAAGAAATGAACTTTTCTGAAATGTGACCGAAGATTTTAAGAGCATGAAGTTAATGTCAGGAGGAATCACTGATACACAATACTCCTGGTTTCAGGTTACTCATTAGGAGTGCTCAGATATGATCCTAACAGCATTAGCTATTATTAAGAAGCTATTTTTTTAAAAGTCTTGCCTAGAATATTTGCATTCTTGTGTAGGAGTGATTGGCTGATGCGTTTATTCGGTCCGTTTGGCAGTGCTGGATCTACCTCAGATTCACAGACAGGAATGGCTTTGGCAGGTTAAGAATTCAACTTTTTCTGTTGCTCACTCTTCAGAAACTCTGGGGTCTGGTCTGCACTGGTAAGGATGGGGTGTTTTACCTTCACCACCCTCCCAGGACCTGCTGATTCACCTTCTGGCTGCTTCCATCTCCCTCTGCTGACATATAGAAGGGAGATAAAATTGGGGAAAAATGAGTTTCACCTTTGTTGTAGCTTAATTCTTTTTAAAATTGAGGTACTGCAACGCTGCAAAGAAGATCTAGCAGCTGTGCCTGGCTTGCTCTTGGCTGGCTGATGTCATTGCACTGCCCTTGGGCTGAACACCAGAGGTTTGCACCAAAACATAAGCTGTCACATGTCCTACACCCAAACTGCAGGTGACATCCCGGTATTGGGAGTGTGTTTCCCCAGGCCCTCTGTCTTCACAGTGAGTAGCCCTCACATCTTTCTGATGGCCTTTTAAATGTAGGAGACTTAAAATTGTATGTAGATACACAGGCAGCACTTCAAAGTGACAAACCCTGAGCAAACAATTAGTTTGCATCAGTGCATCGCCGGTGGCAGGGAGATGCTGTGCTTGGAAGCACATGTGGCCACCAGCCCCTGCATGGAGACCCCTGGTTCCAGGTGTGTGGAAGGACTGGGGGTAGGAAGGAGGTCAGAGAGGGCTGACAGATGGGGATTTTTGTTTTACTAGAAGGGGAAGGTGCACCCTGGCCCCAGGGAAGGGAGGGGAGTTGGGAGGAGGTGTGGGAAGGGAATGGTATTTGCAAGCTCCAAAAGTCACCACCGGTGAGAAAAGGAAGAAGGTGGCTAATTGCCATGCCAGTCCAGTTCTCCCAGGAGCCAAGCCGAAACGCTTGCAAACAGCATTCCCAGCCTCCAGCACGTGGGAAGCCCACAAGGTTTGCATCCCGGCTCTGCTCTCCAGAGGCAGGCGGACTTCAAAATCTAAGCAATGGTCTAGAAACCCACTAGCAAAGAAGCTGGAAGTTGAGGTCGTTGTGAAGATTGGCAGGCTAGAGGAGGAAGGAGAGGGCTGGCTTTTGCACCTGTGGAGCAGAAGGAGGAACTGACTGTGTGGCCAGCAGGTCGAGGGAGGTTCTCCTCCCCCTCTACACTGCCCTAGTGAGGCCTCATCTGGAGTACTCTGTCCAGTTCTGGGGTCCCCAGTTCAAGAAAGATGAGGAGCTGCTGGAGAGAGTCCAGTGGAGGGCTACAAGGATGGTGAGGGGACTGGAGCATTTC